CCCCCCCACCCCCCCCCACCTCCCCCTACCCCCCATCTCCTCACACCTCCCGCCCCCCCCTCACAACAACCCACCCCCCCCCCGGAAGCTCCCCCCAGGAGCTTCCAAGGGGGCCCAAGGGGGCCCTCAGCACATCGTACATTAGGAAGCATACAGTGGAAGTGTCTCATGTGGCACCCGAATTATTTCCGACGGGGGGCCATATGTCGCTCCCGAGATGGCCCCATGAGGCAATGAGAAAAGGTTGATTTTCGAGAGAAGTGAGGAGGGAGGGTGAGGGGGAGTCTTGGTGTGTGTCTGCGCGGTGGTGGGGGTGCTGGTGGTGGTGTTGGTGTTGGTGGTGGTGGCGGTAGTGGTGCGTGTGTGTGTATTGTGGGTGGGTGGGTGGGTGGTGGTGGTGGTGTTGCTGCTGCTGGTGGCGGGGGTGGCGGGTGGTGGTTGTAGTGGTGGTGGTGGTGTTGGTGGAGGTGGGTGGTTGTGTGTGTGTGTGGTTGTGTGTGTGGTTGTGTGTGTCTACGTGCGTGTGTGCATGTGCGCGCGTGCGTGCTGGGGCTCATTACACGTTTCGTGGCGGCCCCGAGGTGGCCCCGCATATGTCTGAAATGGCGCCCTCGGGAGAGAGAGAGGGGGGGGGGGAGGGGCGGCCAAGTCTGCATTCGCATCCATGTTTGATTCAACCCAACTGCAATTGACCCAGAGGCCCCGCAACAGCCCGAGATTTGTCAGATCGGGCGCAGAGGGGGTTTCCAAACGCGTTCAGGTAGGCATCCGACCTCTACGCGGTATGGTGCCCGAGGTGGACGGCGGCATCCGCCAGCGCCAATGTAACATATGAATAAGTGCCTTGGCTGACCCCCCCCCTCCCCCCCCGTTCAAATCCGTTGGCATCCATTCCCCCCTTGTTCGCCCTGTGCCCTATGACTGGCAATGGGCCTCGTTTGAATGCACATTGGGCTCCATTGGGGCCAACTGAGTTCCATTGGCCACCATTCGTTCACAGCGGGCTCCATCCATTGGACAACATTCCCTCCTCACTCTGGTAATTGGATTCCACTGGGTGGGCTGCATTGGCCCTCATCGGGCCCCACTGGCCTCGATTAGGGTGCAATTGGCTCCGTCAGGCCCCATGTGACTCAGCTGCGCTCCACTATAACCAATGGTGTTCATTGCGCTCCTCTCGAACTCTCGGACCAGGGGCTATCGCGCCACTTGGCCCCGCAGCCGCGCATCGGAATTGATTCGTTTTCTTGGGGCCGCTCGGGCCTTATTGGGCCCTCTCGGCTTTTTGCGGGGCCGTCTCGAGGCTGTCTTCTCGGGGCTAAAGAGGGCCCCGCCTCCCCACGCCCCGCTCCGCCCCACCCCGCCCAACCCAATCCCCCCCCCCCCCCCCCCCTCCCTCCCGCGCAACCGCCCCCGCCGTCGACAACCTGCCCAGCCTTGCCCCGCCCCCTCCCTCCCCCAAGACGTCAAGCAGGCTGCGTGTGGAGTCTTCCCAGGAGCTCTTCGGGGCTTGCTTGGGGCCGCCTCAGAAATTTAATCGTGCCCCAATGCGGGTGCTCAACGAGCGCACCGAGAAGATGGGGGAGAAGGGGGGGGGGGGGGGGGAGCGTGTGGGCTCTAGCGCCCAACCCCTCCACCCTCCCCCCCTCCCCCGCTACAATGAACCTCCCCCCCCCCTCCCCCCCCCCATCCCCCCCCTGGGTGAAGGGGGGGGGGGGGAGAGCTCGTGAACACGAAAGCCCCACCATGGCCCCACGATAGCCCATGCAGATCCAAGAGGGCCCCATGAGGAGAGCTTCCCGATTTTGGTCCACGACACCCTTTTGGGGGGGGGCTCTGGCGGCATTATCCCAAGGTGACTCTGCCCGCGCCAGATCAACTCAAAGCCATGTTTCCTTGACGGGGCCCGTGTGGCACAGTTTTGTCGGGTCGCCAGCCATTGGCATCCATTTGGGCTGAGTTGGGGGTGCTGTATCTTCAACATGCGCTGCACCTTGTTTCTGTCGTGTGTTTGCGCGTGTGCGTGCGCGGTGTGTGGTGGGGTGGGGTGGGGTGGGGTGGGTGTGGTGGTGGTGGTGGTGGTTGTGTGCGCGTGTGTTTTGGGGCTTTCTCCACGCTCATCCAAGAAGCCGCTTGCTCCTTGCCACGTTGCTCATGCATCCACACGTACGCCTGCAACGATCACAGAGTACTGGGGCCCCATGGGGATGCATTTATGAAACCATCGGGACACATCGAAGCCATAGGAATACCATAGGACGCACCACGATTCCATATGAAACGCATGTAGTCCGATACCATAGGAAACACCAGGAAACCGTAGGCATCACCAGAAAGCCACAGGAGACACCATACCCGTGACCATGGACAAGTTCTCCTTGAGTAAGGAAGGACTCATATAGGCAAGCTTCTGGTGATAACCCCTGCATTGGTACCCCCTGGGGTAGATGCTGCAGTCATAGGGCATTGCACTTGTTCCGTTCCTAGAACTTTGCCCAACATCCCTGCGCTCGTTGTGACAATCTGGCATTCCGGTATCATTTCTCTTCTTGCCCGAGGTTTCCAGGGAGGTGTTTTTTTTGGCGTGTCCCCACGCACACGCAGCATACGTCCTCTGGTTTGCAGCGATGGCAAGCAGGAGGCCGCCTCGCGGGCGCGGCGCAGGCAGAGGCACGAAACGCACCGCCAGCGGGACCCCGACAGCTGGGCAGGGTGATGTCGTGGACACTTGCGTTCTCTGCGACATGAATTCGGCGGATTGGGGGCCGCTTTGAAACTCTTGCGCGTGCTCTGCCGTCTTCCGCCTGCCCCCCGCGCTCAGAAATATGTGGGGGGATTAAGTGGAGGAGGCGGAAGGGGAAAAGGAGGGGGCAGGGCGGCGGAAGGGATCGGGCTGGCGGAAGGGGTCTGGGGAGGGGGGCGGTGATGGGGGGTGGTAGCGATTGTTTCTTGCGTGCTTGCGCTGGGCTCCCCTGCGTGCCGCTCCCTGGTTGGATTGCTACGCGCGTGCAGAGAGAGAGAGGGGGGAGATAGAGACAGAGATGAAGCACGACGTCTACAGAGATGTATGTGCACATACACATATAAGCCGATGCGCATGTATAGGGATAGGCAGAGAGAGAGAGGGGTGGAGAGCGATGGAGATAGAGATGTGGCAAATGGAGGGGGACGAGTGAGAGAGAGAGAGAGAGAACGAACAAGAGCGATAGATAGAGAGAGAGAGAGAGAGAGAGAGAGAGAACGAGAGCGAGAGAGTGAGAGAGAGAGAGAGAGGAGCACCACAGAGGGAAACCAGGCGAGAGAGCATGCAGGATCTCCAGGGCTTCGTGACAAGCACACTTGTCAGGCGGACTTGTGTTTTTGGGAGGGGGCTCTCGGGGTCCTCTAGGCGTTGATATGGTTCGGGCCTCTCTGGGGAGTGGCCTCTTGGAGGCATGTTGGAGGCCAGGTTGAACCATTGTCTTGAGCCATCTTGGAAATCATCTTGGGCGACCTGGAGCCCTCCTCGGGCCCTCTTGGGCCATCTGGGTCGCTCTACCACCCCCCCACGCACGCGCGCCCAACCCTCCCGCCCGCGGCCACGCCAAGGGATAGGGGGTAGCGGGAGGGGTAGACCCCTCTTCGAAAGGTGAAACAGGTTGTAATAATGAGCTCCGTAAACAAGCCCAGAAGAGTTGGTGGGACTACTCGGCTATTACTCCGTGTCGCATTCTTGGATGAGGCCCCTGCCATTGGATATCCGACGATTGCCCCTTGCAGTTTTCCCCAATGTATACTGGAACGATCATGAGACCGCATTTTGGGCCAAATCTGGCTCGTACTTGTCTGGTTGACCTGGCGGGGGTGGGCTGGGTTAGTTCGGGGAAAACGTGAGTCGGACATTTAATGGTAGCGGACACGTAGTCTTTCGTTCCACTTTCTTTCAGCCCCAGGAGGTCCAGTGGGCGACAGATGAGTCGGGTAACCCAGTCGGCTCTTTCTGCAACCCTTGCGACGGGAAGGTGCGGTCGGCTTTGGGCAAGGTCGTCAGTTCGTCAGATGATGCAGCTCACATGATTCGGGAGAGCGCCTCGCCCAAGGAAGGGATCAAGAAGGTACACGAGGTGCAGAACTTGGACCCCGTTGATCGTGGCTTCCCCGTGGCAGGGGTCAACGAGGAGAAGTATAGGAACATTGTTATATTTCGGGAGGTGTTGGGGTTGAACGCGAAAGAGGTCAAGGATCGTACAGGCTGCACCCCCACCTTCTTGAAGTTAGACGCGTGCATCATGTGGAATGACACTGGCAAGCCTGAGCCGCTCTTCCTGCTGCGTGATGACTGGGGGGGTGACCTGACAAGAGACTACCGCAGGGTGCGGCTTGAGGTCGGGAAGGCCATCAAGATCCTGAAGCACAACTTGCTGCCCGAGGGCCACACCGTCGAGATGATGGCGGAGATGCTGTACGAAAAGAATGTCACGAACGTCGACGAGGAGATCTTCCAGGACCGCAGCGCCTCCAGCTTCCAGGCCATCAGCGTCGTGATGGACAGGGCAGGGAAGAAGGGGGCGAAGGCGAAGGCGAAAGCGAATTCGCAATCGCCAGGGGTTCCAGATGCTGGCTTCAGCGCTGGGGCGAGCGTGGATTCGCCTATGGGGCCCCCCCGCAGTTCACCATTGGCTTCGAGGTCGCCAGCTAGCGACCCTCCTCCTGCGACGTGGCACCGCGCAGCACAGAGTGGTCGACCAACTTCGGCTTCTCCTCCACCTGGACCTGGGCTGACAGCCGCGGCCCTTGCATCGCATACTGTTGCAACTGGAGGCTGCTCCTCGGCGCCGCCGCCCTGCGCCCCTTCAGTGAGCGGCCAGACGGTGGTCCCTGGTCACGAGTCCTGCCCAAGAGACATCGCTGGGAAGGTGCAGTACTGGAAGGAGAAGAACAATTTGACAGACATCTTGGCCGATCAACCCTTGGGGTGCGCAAGGGTCCAGGGGGATCAATTACTTTCGAGATTGCGCAACATGCCACAGCATGCTGGAGACTTCGGCGTGCTGAACGTGCACATGGCATTGGTGCACGTCGCCCATCAGACGAAGGTGTCGAAGCTTGCAACTTTGGACCCCAGCGAGCTCAAGGAGAACCTGCGTCGGCTCAAGCACGCCAAGGTGCCAATCCCCGAAGTGATGCAGATAGCGCTCACCAACATGTCCTTGCGCGAGGTCTTTGATAAAGCGCTGCAGACGCGTGGGGGAGGCAACAGCATGGCTGAAGCGTTCGTCGCTTGCAGGCCGTACGCGGTGCACGATGACATATCCATTACTTCGTTCGACCCTTTGGATCCCAAGTTGATTGAGATGGAGGTCGGCGACGCCACGAAGCTTGGAGAGTTCAAGGCGACCTTCTGCAAGGACTTCGTGAGTGGCATCGTGCTCAAGGACGCTGCGTACGAAGATGTTGCCAAAGAGTTGGTCCAACAAGTGTTGCCGCTGGTGGAACAAGACCTGAAAGATGGCAGAGTGCCCGCGGACTTCAGCAGCGACTTCTACGAACTGACATTGAGTCTGAGGGCGCTTCACAGCCTTCTCCTGCCTCAGCGTGACGACGACCTCGCTGAACAAGTGGTGGTGTTGAATGAGTTGGAGCAGTGCGCGCCTCCTGAGTCACCTTCCAGGCAGAATGAGCCGCAGAGCATTGGCATGTTCGTCAGCGCGGCGTTGCTGACGGCGCCGTTCTACCAGAAGAAAGCCGAGGAGTTGCGGTACTACGACGCCAAGGACAAGAAGCACAAGGATGAGGCAAACAACCTGTCTGATGAGTTTGGGGCGTACGTAAACCTCGGTGTCGACGGACTCGCCTCGAAATTCTCTGACGTGACCCGCCACCTGCAGCTCTTCATGGATAAGGCCCCCCTTTGGAAAGCGGTGATGCGCCCTGGTGTCATGGACGAGGCCTGCGAGAAAGCCAAGAAGGTGCCTGGGGCAGTAGTCCAGGGGCTGTCCCACAACGAGTTCTCTACAGACGTTGTTTCCGCCGACCACCTTGCGAGCATCCGCGAGTCCGTGACCCTCGCGACTAAGGTGTACGTGATGGACGACGATGTACAGACGATGGCAACCAAGATAGACTATGTGATCGCAGCTTCGAATTCTAAGGCCCGCATCGATGTCTTGAAACAAGCCTTCAATGATATTGACACCTTGCCGTTGGCAGAAGACGGAGTGATTGCAGACGATGCCCCCTATTTGAAGCTGGTGTCGGCTTGCAACAACATGGCGGGCATCAAGCTCCCCGAGGAGGTGAACGCATATGTCATCAAGTGTGCCAGCACCATCACCAAGCACGCTTTCAAGGCCTATTGCAACCAGATTGGAGGGGATGCTGCGCTGGGTGATGCCCTGTCTGCCCTGGCGGTGGTCTCCTCAAGCAACCAGGACGCCAAAGTGATCAAATCTGCCGCCGTCATGTGCCGTGCTGCGGTAGGCTTCTTCGATCGGTTCAAGGACCTCGTCTCCGAGATGCCCAACGTTGGCGGCGCGCTCCAGGACGTCTCGCGCGCGAGGTCGTGCACGAGAGGCGCCGTCGGCAAGGCAAATGCGATGGCGAAGGCGGTGGGTGTCTTCAATGACTTCTGCGACGACCTGGCCTGCAAGTGCGAGCACTTGGCTTTCGCCGACCAGTTCAAGAATATGCAGCAGAGGATTTCGGACAGCGTGATGGTCGTGGTCGGTTACGACGAGAAGAAGCTCAAAGAGGCGGCCGATGAGATCGAGCCGTGCTCGCAGGGCGGCCAGGACGGCAAGCCTTGGTACGCCGACCTCCCTGACGGCGCCGCCCTGAAGGCCTTGCAGGACCTCGCCAACGACAGGCTGAGCGTCCAGAATTTCAACATCAAGGCTGTCAAGAGCCGCGTCGACTCCTTAGAGCAGGACTCCCTCCCTCTCCTACCTTCCCCCTCCTACCTACCTACCCATCCTACCTACCCCCCCCTTTTCCCTCCCCAGGACACCTGGGAGGGAAGGGGCAATTTTGCGTCCGCCTTCAAGGACCGCGACGCCTACGTGCAATACGCGGAGGCCGTCGGCCACCGCCTGCACGACGACATCATCCAGCAGGTGCAGCGGGTGCAGAACAACGTGAAAGTTGTAGAGTTGGAGGGCAGGGCGATGCACCTGCTCAAGACGGCCTCGGGCAAGAAGCAGCTCCAGGCCGACATGGTGAAGCTCAAGGAGAAGTTCGCCGACGTCGGCGGCTTCGAGAGGGCGCGCGCGCTCCTGAGGGGGCGGTGCGAGAAGGCGTTGGCCTTCCAGTAAGGCCGCTCTGGCCTCGGACTCGGCGCCAGGGCCGACCCTCCACCTCCCCCCTGGCTACTCTTCTTGCTGCTTCTGTTGTTGCGTCGGGTATTCGGCCCATGCGTGGGCCCCTGGCTGCAACCCAGAGCCAGAGTCTGGCTGCAAACCAGAGCCTGTTGCAACCCAGAGTCCGTTGCAACCTTGTCGCCACTATTCGTAGGCCTATCGGCCGTGGCCGCCCGCCCCCCGCGAATAGTGGAGGAGGATTGGGGCGGGAAAGGGGAGCGGGGGAAGGACGGGCCCCCCCCCCCCCGCCCCCCTACGCTTTTTTGAGCTTAACTTTGAACCCCCCACCCCTCCGCACACCCCTCCAGTGTGAAACCCCTGGTCAGATTAAAACTTAACTCCAACTTTGCCTGGCATAAGTAATTTGGCCTCGCCATGGTGCTTAATTTAGATCAGTGCGCCTCCCTTCCTGAAGTCATGGAACCAGCCATTCGGCCCCTCTTGGGCCCTAGGCTAAGCCCGTAGGCTTAAACATGATTCCTCACAACTTGCCTTCCCCCAACTCCTCCCCCCCGTCCCCTCCCCACCGCGCCACCCCCCTAAGGTTAAGCCCAATCTCGATTTTGAGTCTAGCCCCACCCCGACACCAACCCTCACCCCCGTCTTCGCTTCATGATGTGCCAGCAGACCCTCCGCTTCATTATGGCCCCTCCTCCCCCCTCCCTTCCCCGTTTCCATTCACCCGCCCTCCCTCCCCCCCCGCCTTCCCCTCCCCCCTCGGCCCTCCGTCTCCCCCAAATGTCGAACAGCCGACGTTTTCGGGGAGACAGGAGATCAGCATCCATAGCGAATGATTGTAGAATGGGAGGCTAATGTGCAGTAGGCGCAGAGGCGAGAGCACCATCCGAGTATCGTTTTTTAGCCAGGCGCGCGCGTGACAAAGCAACGCGCGGATGCGGCTGGATTGCCGTTGTGCGTTGACTAGGGGGGGAAAAGGGGAGTGTTGTGAATTATGAGTCATTGTAGATGGTGGGGCCCATGCCCTCCCGCGCTAGTGATCAATTGAAAAGCATTATGACAGAGCGCGAGTGCGGCGCGGGAGTTGGATATGAGTGATTTTGAATTAAACATGATGTGAAAAAGCAGTGTTTTTTTTTAAGAGCTGGAAAAAACACCTTTTAGTGTTTTTTCAGTGTTTTCTTTTTTTCGTTGCTTGTTAGGTCCTGTAGCGGACGTGTCCTTCACAGCACCATGAGGAGCAAGAAGCTCTCTATGTGCCTGAAGACGGCTGCGCTATGAAGTACGCGTCGCCAATGCTGTTCTCATGCGGGCCGCTGCTGCAAGGATGTACATGGACTTGAGATGTGGCCCATTCCATCGATCTAGGTTGAAACAGTCTCCCAGCCGAAGCATACTGCTGGGGGTACGAAATAAGCGTGCTACCAGGTGTCGCTGCCCCTGTACAACTGACCACTCGAGAGGGGCAAGTTGGGCCACATAACTCAGCACTGGAAGAGCACGCTCACGATACAGTCTCGCCAAGAGATCGATCGGGGCGCCTTGGTTGCTGAGATCAACTGTACGAGTCGCGTGCTTGTCGATAGGCCCTTTCCATTGGTCAGCAATGGTCGCCGACGGGCCGAACTGAAATCCCAGATAAGTACATTGAGATGCAAACGAGAAGTGTGTCCACATAGAGTCAGCACCAATAAGTTGATCACGCACCTCTGCACATGCATCAGGGGACGAAGGATGTCGAAGGGGGATCACCGTACATTTACTGTGTTTGAGACGCAACTCAGCAAACGCGGCCGCGAGCCGAAATATTCTGGCAAGGCGACGGTACGCACGATTCCAGAATATGACAGCGCCCAAGTCATCAGCACACGATCTAGTAACACCCAAACGCGTGCCTGCACATAGCATGGAAGCTTCAATGTCAAGAATGAAGGGGTTGGCGGCAATAATGTAGAGCGATCCACCGAGAGGGCAGCCTTGAAGGACACCAGACCGCATATATACTAAGAAGGACTGCGAAGCCCCAGGGTAAAAGCACATGTTGCAATAGTACAGGCCTTCAAGAGCTTTGACTAGTGGCGGGGGAAGCCGAAGACGTCGAAGACACAGGAATAGCCACGACAGACTGACTGATGGAAAAGCTTGGGGCGTAGCCGAATGTCATCAGAGAGGGCGCCTGGTCATGACACTGTTGAGCTAGAACACTGGAGGCGCGCGCGTACATGTCCAGGTCAGTGATATTGCTGAGGAAGTTTATATTCCTGATAAAGCCATTTTGTGATTTAGCTCCTATCGCGCAGGTGACCCTGTTGAGGCATTTATTAAGGACACCGCAAACCACCTTGTTGCTTGTGTTCTTAAGGCCCAGAGGCTATGTCCCGGAGGCTTTGCGAAATGCACCACCTTCGCCAGGCTCATCTTGGGCTCCTTTAAGAGGCTAGGGGAGGAAGGCGGCAAGCATGGCCGAAAACGCCGAGTCCATGCTGTGCCCCTGGGAGGTCCATCGAGGTACCGCCAGTGGAATTCGGGGACCCAAACCAGCATTCCACGCAGCATAGCGAAGCCCATCAGGACCAGGAGCTGCCCACGACGCTTTTCCCAATACCCGTGGGACATCCTCGGCCATGGGGGGAGGTGGATCTCGGAGAAGTCCTGGCTGCTCGTGAAACGCTCGACATACTGGCGACCACCTCTGGGGACCACAGGAGCCTTGGAAAATACAAGGGGCCCAGTACTCGTGTAGCGCATCAACATGCTGCTGCTCAGACGAGGAGGACGCAGGGGAAGCATGCAACGATGGGTAACGACCATGCGCATCGTCAGACGCACTCTCCTTGACAATGCCTGCCAAGTACTTGCGCCTCAACAAATGGTTCCATAGCTGCGCAGACCTTGCAGCTGCGCGCTTCTGTCCGATAAGGCGAGAGCGAGTGCTCGATGACGGCGTTTTCGGGAGAGCATTTTCCACTTCTTTGCGACGGGCGGCGGCTTCCTGTCTCTGAAGGTGAGCGCGCGCATCACTGAACCCAGCGGGGTCCGTTAATGACGCGCTGGAGCCCTGGATGTTGCAATGTTTCTGAACCCACGGGAACTGAAAACGAAGGACACCAGCTAACTTATAACCATGTCTCCACACGCGCCGAGCAAGAGAACGTGCAACCGACGCCCGAGACGTGAGCGGGGAAGGCGAGGAGCGCAGGAGAGCGTCACGAACCATAGCACCATCAGACTGCCTGATACGAGTAGCCATCGCCAACATCATGGGAGGGCCATGCTCGGGGGGCGCGATGTCAACAATCTCTTCTAACTCACGAACTGCGCGATCGTAGAGATTAGCCTGGTAAGCCCACGTCGGAAGAGGCCGCTGGCGGGCCAACTGATCAGACCTGGGACCCCAGGAGACCACCAGGGGAGCATGGTCAGAGAGGCCTTGCCGAACTAGTTCCTGCGGTTCGCCCAAGACACGAGCGGACTGGAAAGACTGACAGAGGACCCACGGTGGGGAAGCGGTGAAACATCGATCACTTTTGCTCGCTGACTGTGTACCCTCGCGCCAGTGCGAGGGCGCGTCCGAAGCCAGCTCTGTCAACGCCCTGAAAATCCTGCGCCAGCTGCTGTCTCCAGGACGACCCGCCCTAGTTGACGCAGCACGGGCCGATGGACGCAAGGGGCGCGCCGAGCTGGCCGAGTCTGGTACACTTGCCCTCGAAGTGGGGCCCGACGTCGTAGAAGCTCTGCCCCTTCCAGAGACTTCCTTGCGTGCAAATGCAGTCGCACGCCCCCGATCCTCAGCTGGGGGATTGAAATCACCAATCAAGGTAACTGAAGACTTTGTAGGAGCACCTCTGACTTCACGAAGCTGTTCTCGGACGCGCACCTGGAATCGAAGAAGCTGTTCGCGTTCAGTCCCATAACTATGGATATTCCAATGGTACACTGTAAACCCACTGCGCACGCATACACTTTTGAGTAGCAACACTCTCCCAGGAACCAAAACTTCGGGTGAGACTTCCACAGTGTCTACCCTGGGGACCAGCGTGAGAACACCTCCAGATCTCGGTACTCCACTGTGCGAAACAAACGGGAGATGAGTGATGGCAATACGCTGGAGCGCTTCCCGCACTGCAGCTTCATCTCCGTGGACTTCTTGAACAGCAACCAGTGAGCCAGCCTGAGTGATCTTTCTCAGCAGCTCAAGCCTCTTGGACATCTTCTTGGAGTTGAAGTGGGGGGGGCGAGCTCGCATTCCACGATGCGAGAGTAAGTTGGGCAGTACCAAATGTTTGCTACCCACTCCACTGAACTTCGCGATCGGAGAAGGTCCTGCGCGCCAGTGAGGCAGCTGCCTCCTTGCTGAGGCCAGCGTCCGCGAGAGCAGCAATGTTCCATTCCACCCGAGGGACGCGGGAGGATGAGCTTGGCGCGGCCTTGGCCAATGGTTCCCACTTGGCGAGGAGCTGGCCACCATCGCGGTCAATGAAGGTTGCGACTCCAAATTCATCTGACATAGCTCGGCGAAGCTTCTTGCGCGCCATCTCCGCGGCGACTTCCTTCCGATTCTTGTCGGCCGATATGTACAACGGAGTGCTCTTAGTGATCAGTTGGATGTGGGATGACCTCCACTGCCCAGAGGGAAGACGTAATGTTGCCTGAGTCTGCTTGCGCCGACTCTCACGTGTAGCAGGATGCGGACCCTGAAATACAAGGATGAACTGTTTCGCGAACACATCACCCTGCAGCTGCACCTCCTCGCCAATGGAGAAGTTGGCGGATTGAAGCCACTGCTCGATGGCCCCTTCGACATTCTTCCGAGGGGCAGGTTCTGGGGCGCGAACATGCGTGATCGTCGGGTCAACTTCCCTGTCCCAGTCGGCAGAAAAAATAGGAATGTTGCGAGGTTTGACTCTCGCCAGGTCGAGCTCCCGCTCAAGATGGGCGAGCCTGTCCTCCATGGCTGCGAACTTTGACTCGACCGTGTTGACACGCTGGGTCTGCTTGTCAAGGTCCTGGCGCAAAAGACGAATATGCTGATTTAAGTTTTCTTCATACTGGTTAAGGAGGGGCCCTGTAGCTTTGACCAAAGCACACGGAAGGGTCTCGTTGAGAGTGGCCAACTCCTTGAGCGCCTGACCCTTGAACTCTTGCAGCGAGCTCTGGGCCCACGGGTCGGGAATGGCACCAGCTTGACCATGATCATGGGGAGGTCC